CACCATTTTATTGATAACGAACGTAGCGAGAAAATCCACATCTTGTGATGTTAAATTAAACAAAACTTAATGAGAAAGTTAATGTTACGAGGTTAATTCACGTCTCTCGCGGTAGGTCTCGATACAAAGTTTATCGCGTCGAAAAAACACGTGCAAAGTCGGAAGAGAAATTTGCAGCACCGGTAATTGATTATTTCAATAATCTCATTAGTTTGATGTACGATTCGCCGTTTTTATTTTTTTTTTTTTTTTATTCCATTAATGACGTAAAACAAAATGTTTATAAAACATTTTAAGATTCAATGCAAATGCTTTATGTATGTCGTGGCAATTCAGAGAGAAGAATCGCGCAAAAATATTTCATGTTTTTCAAACGTTACCGGAACATATCGCGTGTCACGTCGAATGTTTGATGTACTACGAGCGATAGTTTACACAATGTCTTTCTTTTTTTTTTTTTTTTAATGTGTAAATTCGTGCTTGTTTTGTTTGTCGAGTTTTGTATGTTCGAGTTTTTGAAGTAAACACACCTACGTAAAAAAATATGCTTGCATTAGAACTTCCCGCGTTAATTTTCTATAACAATATATGTATGTTATTGTTATATGGTGTTTGAGAATATATAGATTTGATACTTGCAATGCTTTCGCGATGTGTTGTGAGAATTCCTGAAAATGGTTTTCGAGTTTTTATTGCGTTAGTGTCATTTTCATACGGAGACGTGAACATTTCAGTTCGCTAAGATTTTTAATTAAAATCAGTCTGATACTACAGTATCGTTGATATAAAACTGACACACCAACACAGGTCAAACTCTCGACGACCATTTTTCACGAATATATAGATTAGCAATCGGGTTCGAGTTAAGGCGCGTTTGCACGTTTCGATTTTAAATGAAAGCAAATTGAACAAGCGCATATACATTTGTTTCATGTAGGTGAAAATAATGTAAAGAGTAAAACAAATTAAATAAATGTATAAATAAGATGAATTGTTGTGAGGTGTGACCTCCGGCTCTTATTGGTAATTCCAATACAATATTTTTATATTGTAAATGTATAAATATTTTTTATAAACATTTCACTTAGATAAACTAGTATTTATGTTGTTCAATTAGCTTTTAATTGTTAGTCAACTAATAGTTTTGATCAACAAAAATCGAATCGTGTGAAACACACTCCTAAGATCTCATACTCGAGTGAATTGTTCGCGAGTTACATGTTGTAACAGCTTGCCTAGGTGTATATAAATGTAAAGGGGTGTACGCATATTGAAGTTATGTACACGTTCGTATTTTGTGTGATATTTTAGAAAAAACACAAACAGGCTCGTGAGAACAAAAACCCGCGAAACAACGACGCCTTTAATTAATTGACGCTTGTCAGAGATGCGAATAAGCCGATTGTTCGAATATTTTTTAAATGTAAAAGAATATCACTTGAAACATTACGCGTATGTAAAACATTGTGTTTTTGATTTCCGAAGTTATTCACGTTAAAATTCGACTGACAACCAAACAATTGAGTTTGTTAGTTTAATTGAATATATCTTGTTGCGTGTGTATTTGAGAGAGATTTATATTATAATTCGCACCGGCGCAAAAAAAAAAAAAAAAAACGCACAACCAAGAAAAGGCAACCAAAGAGAGACTTGTCGGACCTTAAAATGAGACACGGGGGACCATAAAAAAAAAACAAAAACGTGTGAACTTAATTAAGAGATAGCGTTCAGAGCTCACGCGGCGATCGGTATATAAAGCCGTATCTCGATCTATTTCGTGCATACAATTGTTATGTGAGACTGTGACAGATTTGTTAGTCAATAAGAATAATCACTCATATATATATATATTATTGAGCGTGTTTCCAACTTTCATGTGGCAATTTTCAAAACGCGCAATTTATGCAAAACCAACCTATCTTATTGCATAAGTCAAGCGATGAACAAGCCTTATGTGAAAGTGGCGAATTAATCGCATAATGAGAAACACTGGATACATACACTTCCGCGTTATATACACGTTTATATTTATTATTACAGTATATTCGACAGCTCTCGTAAGCTAGGACTCGCATCTCATCGATTGATTCTAACTGTATGTCTATTCGACGCTCAAAAAGGCAGGTGCATTTAGAGAAACGAGAGAGATGCGGATCTAAAAATCCTTCCAGGAATACGGATAAAATGCCTACTCATAACGGATGCTTCAAAAATCTTTTATCGTAAAAATATCTATATCTCCTCCTGTTTATCAAGAAAAATTTGCGTACTTATCTTTAAAAATCACTCCGTATACTTAACATTTTCGTGCGCAACGTGTGTAATAATTGATGTATATAATAATTAATGTGTTTTGTTTTTTTAGTTTTCAATTTGCCGTGTAATTAAGTTTTCACTGAAACAAGACTACATGATGAAATTTAATTTTTAAAAGAATGAATGTATTATATATCGAACAGTTAATTAACATTTTTGATGCGAACTGCTATCAGTAGACATTTTCCGGATTGTTACGGGTATATATATAAATATTACATCACATGTATAATTATCGTAAATTGTGTAAAAATGGTTATACATATATACATACAGACGCGTTTCACGCGCGTCACGATATATATATACTTTATCACAGATTGCACAAGATATTTTGTATCCTATACTAGACACACACTGTTTCTAAATCTCTCGCTGTGAAAAATTATATAGCATTTACACATTCTCTCTTACTTATATATGCCGACTTAAATATAGATTGTATAATTACGCCACCTAAGATAGATTACTATATTTCCGATAATTAGACGTACTCCGATAAATCTCTGCACTCGATATCGCGACCAAAACTTCTTGTGATGCTCAATTGAGGCATTAGTAGCTAAATAGTCTTTGATTTTACTCGACAATCAATTTATCGAGCGATCAACATAAATATTGTTTTTATAATTGTTTTCTCTCTCTCTCTCTCTTTCTTTCTATTTTTCTCTATCTCTCTATTTTCTCTTTCTCTCTTTCTCAGTCACTCACTTATTCTTGTTTTATTACGCGCGCTATATACGATAAATTATATAGGTAAAATACACAGTTTTAAGTGATTTGTAAACTTATGCTATTCAAAGGCGGAAGTTACTCTTCGATTCTTACGATTGTAGTCAAATTATATATTTACATAGTAAACTATTAACTTTCATATGTCAGCACGAATTGCGCACAAAATATCCGAACTAACGGACAAGATATGCAGCTTCAAAAAGCAATTCTGCACGTTTTAAATATAAAAGAATTTTCGCAAAAAAGTTATTACACTATCTATAGTCGCTCTTGTACAATGACTTTCCACAAAATCCGCTTTTTGCTTATTTATGGTCAGTTCCGACCAACAATGATTCGGAAAGGGACAAATCTTCTTACACATATAGTGAACAAGTGCTTGTCTTAATACACGTGTATTGTCCTTTTTAACTTTTTCCCATTAACGTTTTACCTACTTAAAATTTGGCTCAACTAATATACTTTTTGTGATTTATCTTTACGAGTGCTACTTCCCTCTGTCTCGTATTTCGATATATCGAGTCACAATTCCCACGCAGGCTCCCACATACAAATTTATAATTAATTAAAAAGTCGCTAATTGAAACGTCGTCTTCGATATGCATAAATCTCTCCTTTTATCATCGGATTAATACCGCGGATATGAACGCCGAACCGACTGGACACATTTTTTCAATCGATCGTATTTTACATGTATTAATACCAGCTACAACTAAAAAAGATTCGATTGTTCACAGATGATTGGTAAATCTAATCTCGTAAAAATGTGGGAGAGATTTCGTGGAAAGACGCGCAAGCGTGCGTTTCCTTTTCCTTCCTTCAACAATGATAATCTAAGTGTTCGAACATAAAATGCAAGGTCAGATTTTTTTAACGATAATACATATAACTAGGCCGTGATCTTGTACAAAGGAATTTAAACTATTAGAAAACAAATTGTATTAATGACCGCCAGTGATCCATAGGTAAACGTAATGAACTTGCCGTTTTACGCCCGGTTCTTATTGTAAATTTACACTGTATGAATATATATATAATATATATATATATTTTACTCTCGTGTACATTCTATTATCTAAAGATGTGCCGTTTTTGTCAAATAAATCACGCATTCCGATGATCACACACATGACGATCGGAAGCGAAAAATCACACATCCAACACGTGTTTGATTTTCTTCCAAAAAAATGTTCAAAATTCGTCTGTCAACTTTCTGCGACGCCTTGACCCGTCGTAAAAATCGGGGACTAATATCGTTTCAACGAAGAGGCCGCGAAGCAAGCTATGCGTGCCACGACTGTCAATTCCATTGAGCAACTGTTGGTGGTTCTTTCGCACAGAGGCGGCAGGCGAAAGACAATATAACCCATGAAAGCCAATCAATCGTGGTGCGCACTTACGTTCTTGCTAGGCGCATGAAAGTATAAAGGGGTTTTGAAATCGAAGAGGACCTTCAGTCGATCGCGCATAACAACTGAAGAAGCCCAATATAAATTATCGGAAAAAGTATGAAGCTCTTAAGATACTGCCTTCTTTGCGTAAGTTTTTCACATTAATAATTCATACACGCGATATACAACTCATTATACAGTCATAGACTTTAACGTTCTATTCTAATGTTTCACCGACTTTCTTTTTCTAATTGTCTCAGTAGCTATTCTTTTGACGATATGAATTACTTGCACATTTAAAAAATGTTAAAAGTAGTTTTCGAAATAATACATCATAGTCATAACTGTGGCGTTAAAAGTGCGAGAAGATATCATATGAATTTTTTCCATGTAATTTTTAAACATTTTAAAATATACTTGTGTCCACAAAAATTTTATATTCTCAAACAAACGTGCTTTTTACATTAGTTATTAAAAAACGCAAACATAATCATTTCCGCGTCTGGTGATGACAAATGTTCTGCGGAATAACGCTGCTCTTAATCAGAGCGTAAAAAT